AGAGAGAGAATAGAAAGTCATAGAGAAGCAATATTTAGTGAGCTAACAAAACTAACGAAAGACACTCATTTCCAGATCCAGGAAGTACAGACAATACTAAGAATATAAATAAAAATAAATTCATACCACCTCATCATAATGAAACCATGGAATACAAAAGATAGAGAAAATTGTCAAAACAGCCAGAAGGAAAAGATAACTAAAATGAAGCCACAATGAAACTGAGAGAGAACTTCTCAGCAACTACAGAATTTGTAAGAGTATGGGAAAATATCTTCAAAATGTTGCAAGAAAATTATCTTCCACTTTGAATTTTTTACCTAGACATGATCCTTTAGAATGAAAATTAAAACTGGAAAATAACATTTTCAATAAAGCCTGAGAGACTTTTATTAAAGGAACTACTAGATTTATTTCTGAATCATGGAGCTATATGAAAATCATATTTTATTAAAGGTGCCAAGTTTACTATAATGACATTCATTTATCTTTTATTTGTTATTTTTAGATATACATGAAAGTAGAGTGTATTTTGACATATTATACATACATGGAGTATAATTTATTCTAATTAGGATCTCATTTTTTGGTTGTACATGAGGTGGAGTTTCACTGTGGTGTTTTCAAATATGAACAGAGGAAAGTTATGTCAGATTCATTCCACTGTCTTTCCTATTCCCATCCCCTGCGCCCCTTTCTTTATTCTCCTTTGTCTAATCCACTGAACTTTTTTTTCCCCTTTGGTATCAGGGATTGAACTCAGGGGCATTCAACCACTGAGCCACATCCGAGCCCTATTTTGTATTTTATTTAGAGACAGGATTGCACTGAGTTGCTTAGTGCTGGCTTTAAACTCACCATCCTCCTGTCTCAGCCTCCTGAGCTGCTGGGATTATAGGTGTGGGCCACCGTGCCTGGTTTATCCACTGAACTTCTACCTGCCCCTCACTATTGTGTGTTAGCATCTGCATATCAGAGAGAACATATGACCTTTTGTTTTGGGGGATTTGCCTTATTTCACTTAGCATGATAGTCTCCAGATCTATCCATTTACCAGCAAAAATCATCAAGTCATTCTTATATATGGCTAAACAATATTTGACATTCTTTTAATTTTTTTAAGAAGAAATTGGTTTAAATTGTTGAGAATTGGAAGTAATACAACTATCATTAATTCAATTTTTTTCAAATAATTTTGTTTATGACTTGTTAGGTTCATAGAATTATCACTTATATCTGATGCCAAACAAGCAATCTGTGGTATAAAATTACTAATAATTGCATTATTAATATTGTATAGTGGCATGTTAAATCAAAGTGCACTGTGGTCCACAAGATTTCAGTCAAAATAATAAAAAGAAAACTATATAAAAGTCCACAGTATAAAAAATAGATTTAGAATTGTTATATTTGTAGTTTTGATGTTCAATAGTGTAAAAAATATTTTCTGAAGCAATAATCCTTCAATTATAGCTATAATGTTGGCAACATTTCATCCTTTAAAAAATTTGTTCTAATTTCCAGAAAGGAGAAAGGGAAGAAGATTGCAAAGGCTGTGTCATTTCTTTAAAAGAGAGAGAGAGAGAGAGAGAGAGAGAGAGAGAGAGAGAGAGAGAGAGAGATTGCTATATTAACACTGAATGTACTTGGGTATGTTAAAGAGCCATTTGCAGCTTGTACTTTTACAAAATTCTGTAGAATGAGAAAATTTGGCCATATGGTCTCCAAATTTTATTTCTGGGTCTAAATGTAGCTGTCATGATTATACATGCTAGGGAATCTCGGTGAGTTTATTTCTATGATCCTTTCTGAGAATGTGTGTTTCAAGGTAAACTGAGGCAATCAGTAGTCTCTGTGAGGGTGGAAACAGGGGAGGGGACTCCAAGGGAAGAGAGAAGGAAGATGGGAAAAAGTGGGCGGTGTTAAATGGAGGGATCTAAAGAGAGGGAGGGAGGAAGGGGGGGAGAGAGAGACAGAGAGAGAGAGAGAGAGAGAGAGAGAGAGAGAGAGAGAGAGAGAGAGAACGAGCTAGAAATGACCAATAACTATAAAATGGGAGGAAGATCTAGAAAGAAGGGTCATGATCCACATTAAAATGTGCCTCTCCACCCAGGGATACACTATTCCATTTGCATACTAAGTGGGAAAGAATGATTGTGGCTCTGTATTATGACAGGAAATGAAAGGTATGCAACAGTATAATGTGTGAATTCAGGCACATAGGTTATTTTGTCAAAATAGAAACACTGTTAGATAAAAAGCACCGAATCATGGAATCATCTGCCACTGCCTGTCACATCATGCTTTTCCTTCTTCCTTCCCCAGTGATTTCTACTTTTTTTTTTTTTAATTTGGCTTTGAAGCTGTTTTAGGAACAAAAGCACAATTCCCGTGTTTTTGGAGAATGACTAACGTTTACATTTCACCATGATGTGACAGTCAGAGTGTCCCTGGAAGCAATCCACAGTTATCACATGTTCATCTTAGACTTAATGACTCAGAGAGGATTCCAAGATCACATATTTGGTGGAAGGGAAGCTGTATCACTGAGTCATATTAGGATTAGCGGATGATGTTCCTCAACAAAGCCATTTATTTATGAAGTGAAAGAAGCTTTCACACATTTTTGCAAGGAGCAACTTGGACGAATCCCTTCTTAATTAAAGGCATCGCAACTGCTACCTTTTATTACACACGTTTTGGGACTCAGTAACAACAACACACTCAAGCTCTGGAAAACAATCTTCCACATAGACAGAACATGCTCTGGATGGGAAACATTCAGTGAGTTCTTCTCTAAAGAAAAAGCAATTGTTTTGCTCCTAACTCAATTCCTAAGCATGATCTTCAGAGACTGTCCACTGAATGACCTAATTTCAGTGAGACTGACACCCTGGTTCTTCTCCCCATCAGTTATTAACAAAGCTTAGTATCTGGGGTCAGGTAGAGTTTCTGGCCTTCTCCATGGTACTAAGTGTTTTTTTTTTTTTAAACTAAATGTTTCTAAACATTTAAGCACATTTCATTGACCTGATTATGAGAGTACTAAGAATATTAACCAGTAACAGAATGACAGACCTCTATGCTGGGCATTTTATGCATATTATTTCCATTCTCTACCATTAGTAGGGAATGTTCATCCCTTGCTATTTTTGCAGGAAAGGGAGAGAACATCCACGGCTATGTCTTTATGTCCTTCTTCACCTCTCCTCATTTCTAGTGAGCTCAGAAGGAACAGCCTCATCTTTTCTCTCTCAGTCCCACCTGCCTGCAGGGAAGGGATGTCCTGATTTGTTCTTTATATAATGAGCTCACCAGGGCAGACTCTGTCCAGTCAGCTGAGGACACCTACACACTTGCTCATGAAAAAAATAAAAGGTAAGATCTCTCTGGCAAGGAAGCCTGTATGGGGCAGGGTGATCAGAGGCTCCAGTTTAACTGCATTAGGAATAAAGCTAATATCTTGATTTTCACTTTTCTTAAAGCTTTGCCTTCTCAGTTGGTCGTGACCCAGAGGAGGGTGAGAGCAATGTCATCACGGATCACCTGGGCCCACAACACTATCCAGGATGCTGTATAGTGATGGTTTGTGCCGCTCAGAATCTCTGTTCAAGCAACAACCTGCTGCTGGGAGAGAAATAAGCTGACATCATCCGGCAGCCACACTTTAGGGATCCAAAACATGAACATGGGTTCATGCCAAGGCCATTTTCCCCCTGTGCAGTTTGCAACCAGTGACTGAGCATGGGACAGTGGGATATTAGAGCCCAGTCTTTCCTGCTTAATACGAGACTCCTCTAACGATCAGTCCTTGTGCTGGGCCTCCCCAGACTTTCTCAAATGGCACTGCTGACTGAGGATATTCCTAATTCATCTTTCTTCTTGCTTTCTCTCTTTTTCCTTCTCCTGCTCCCTCCCTTATTCCTCTGCCTTTATTCTTCAAAAGCATAATCCCCAATAAATATTTGCACTTTTGCTTTCATCTTAGCATCTTCTTCCCTCAAGGGCAGAATTGACTCTATCAGCAATACTATACTCTTCATTTCACCAAAGAAATGAAACTCCAGGCAAGAAAGTAGAAGACATAATAGGTATGTTCCTTTTTAGAAGTTTATGAATATGCTTAGGTTTGATCTTCACTTGAAAAAAAAAATACCCTGTTCACATTTTTTTAAAAGAACATTTGAATGACTTGGATATTGTACCAGTGCTAGAAAGGGGAGCATCATTTCTTTACAAAACTGAGCAAAATTGGACCTGCCCATTCAAGTGCAAGAATATAAAGATACATTGGCTTCTAGAAAATAAAAGAGAACATTAAAGACAAAACATTTCCAGCATTCACAGCTGAGGTTTGATTCTGGAAAGACTGAGTGTTATTCATGAGATAAACAAATTATGCCAATAAGCCAACTGCTACAGCACAGATCTTCCTGTGTCAATCTTGACCTTCACCTTTACAGAGTTTCAGAACATGTAACTTGTGAGCACTTCCCACAATTTTCAATTTCCAGAGATGGAAAGTACTTAATACTGAGAAAATGAAGTTTTAAAATTTGTTTTTTATGCCAGGTATGGTGGCATATGCCTATAATCTCAGTGGCTTGGGATGCTGAGGCAGGAGGATTGCAAGTTGAAGGCTTGCCTCAGCAACTTAGCAAGGCCCTAAGCAACTCAGTGAAATCCTTTATCAAAATAAAAACCAAAAAGGGCTGGGGATTGTAGTTCGGCGGTAAAGTGCCCCTGGGTTAAAATCTCCAGTACAAAACAAAATAAAAACCCCCCAAAACATAAAATTTGGTTTTTACCTTAGCAAAAACATCCAAATCTGATTTTCCAACCTTACATGCAAAGGATAGTAAATATATAAGGAAAGAATAATAGAATTGCTCTGTAATTTTTTGAACCGTTAAGAATATCTGAACTACACAAAATTTAAAATTAAATACAAGTTTATTTTCATAGTATAATTTTCTGAAGGAAGGAAGAACAGGACTTACCTTCACTAGAGTCTTTTGAACCTTCTAGCTTCTTTGCTTTGCTCTTCTTGTGGGGTGGAGAGAGACCTTTTGGCTCTACCCCCTCTGGAAGTACAAAGATTTCATACATTCTTATTTAAATATTTACCAGTAGGGTTCAAAATTGTGTTGAAGTTTAAAGATGTTTTCTTTTTAGTAAACCCACACACACTGAATCTTAATTGCAGATTCATCTGTCATCACAGCTGAGCTAAATTTTGGCGAGGACTCCTGATTCTCCAACCTACGTAGACTTAAACTTTAAGGTTTTTAGCTAAAACAATTTTTTTTTCTTTTGTAGACACCATTAGTGACTCACACACATGAACTACAGACAAGTGCTTTGTTCAATTTCATTTTTTTTTCTATAAGGGAACCTTAAATCATATACATTGTTTTTCTCTAAGAGAATAAAACTTCATGGATTGACAGTGGTCATTGACCATTTCATCGTAGTCCTCAAAGTAGGGCGAGATGAAGTGCAATGTCATCTCGTGTTTGAGGGGTGAGGTGGGGCCTGAAACTCTATTGCTTCTTTAGTAATCCAGATTCTAAACAACTTCCACATGTCCCCAATTAAACTACTGTGCTTCCCATTTCCCTCGGTGTTTTGCTAAATCTGTCCAAGGAGGCTAATAAATTAAATTCTGAAGATACTTTTAGGAACGTGTCTCCAAATTCATCCCTTCTGATACAGTGTGCTCTGCTCAGCATTGCTTTACGCGTCCAGCCCTGGGGGTTCTACTGAGCTCTGGGTTTATGTCTTTAGCTGGGAGCTTCCTGGTTCTTTGGCTTCCTGCAGCTCAGGGGAAGCCAGGGTGTTTGCTTCCTAGAATCCTGGTAGTCTTCTCAGGATGGTTGTGTTCCTTAGTCTAAGGTTAAAGTCCCTGTCAATTGGTCTTCTCCACAGGGCCCTCTCTGTCTCTTGGGTCCTCTCGCTACCCACTCCCTATTGTCCCTTCATGGCTGGGGCTGAAGTGTGCTCCACTCCTCTCAGCCCTGATGATTTCCCTTCACTCAACTCCCATCTGGCTTAACGTGAGCCAGAGCCATACACTGGGGGTTCTAGAAACCTCTCCTCTACCCAGTACTGCACAGCTCAGGGATGGGTGTTATGTGCTACCCACCCAGGAGCTAAACCCCAAACCTGAGATGCCATCCTCAATATTTCTCTTGCTTTACTTTTCCATTCCAAGCAATCCCAAGTCCTATCAGCTCTGCTCTGCAATATATCCCAGATTTATCTGCTCTGCTCATCAGTTGTAATCACAGTCGCTCAAAACAGCAGCAGCTTTTGCTTGGGTTACAGTAATCTTCTAAATTCTAATTTATAGCCTTCTAATCTCTCTGCTTCTACTCTTTACTTCCTCTCATCTGTTTTTCCACACATCAGCCAGTGCGATCTTGGAAAACAAGGCAGGTCATATCGCTTGCCTGTTTAAAAATACCGTTATTTAGAATAAGATCCTAATCTAACTCTATGGCCTAGTCCTGTACTTCATTTGGGCTTCATCTACCTTCTTAGCCTTGTTTCTCACTTGTTCTTTGTGTTCCTCGGTCACGGCAAAGCTAGTTCCTGCCTCAGGGTCTTTGCATCTGCTGTTGCTTCCCCCATCCACCCCTGGAACACATATATGTATATGTCTGCCCTGTATTTACTCTTTGAATCTCAGATCAAATTCAGCTCCCTAGAGAGGCCTTCTCTGACCACCTAATCTAAGGGGGCTCTCACAAGGGAGGTCTCTTCCAAACACATCAGTTATATCTGAAATTATCTTGTTCTTTTGTTTTTTTTTTCTTTATGTTTTGCGCTCCCCGCCCTAGTCCCCAAGAATGTGAGTTCCATGAGACCAGGGCACTTGACTTTCCAATTCCTCTTATATCCGTGGTGCCTAGCAGTACCATAAGAAATTTATTTTAAGGTCTATTTTATATTTGCCTCACTCAGGCCTTTTTTTAAAGTCAATATATAATGGGGCCCATGTCTAACTTTCACTCTCTTGGCAGCTATTGCCTTGTGCCAGGATTCCAAAATTATACTACAGAGCTATGGCAATTTGTTTTTCTTTTCCCATTTATTAAAAAAGGAACAGAACAACTTAAAAACCCCACATTTGATAGATGTGTTGTTAAAAATCTTCAGTGTTATAGACTACAAAGGTTTCGGGCACTAGGCTCACTTTTTCTGGGTTGCGAGTCAATCACATCAAAGGTCATTACTATGGCCAGGGTGAAAAATTTTGCCAATGACTACATTAGCAGCCCTCCCCTCCCAACTTCTGTCACCAGGTGTGAGATGTGTGTTGACCTTTGGAATGGGTTCAGCAAAAAAAGAAATGAGATACTTGGAACAGCTCACTGAGCACAAATACTGGCTCAAAGAGATTCATAAAATGGGCAAGGCGACTTTTGCAATCTCACTGGGAGAAGATTCTAATCCTTTTGTGCCCCTGAAGTGTGTCATCTGCAACTGGGACCAACAGGACAGTTTCCAGTGCTGGAAATCCAATTCCAAACCAGGAAGTCTTAAATTCCTAATTCTTGGTTTTCCACCTGAGGGAGAATTTTTGGGGAGTGGGTGAGATTTAGAAAGACAACTGCCCACATTTTAAAATATTTAAGTGTTCTTAAACTACAACATCTTGGGGCTGGGGTTGGGGGCTCAGTGGTAGAGTGCTTGCCTAGCATGTGAGAGGCCCTGGGTTCGATTCTCAGCACCACATACAAATAAATAAAATAAAGGTCCATCAACAACTAAAAACAAAAAAAATTAAAAACAACTACAACATCTCTGGCTTTTTTTTTTTTTTTTTTTTTTGGTGGTGCTGGGGATTAAACCCAGGGCTTTGTACATGCAAGGCAAGCACTCTACCAACTGAGCTGTATCCCCAGCCTGCAACATCTTGTTTTTGAAAAAAGTTGTAGGGTTCTCCTTGAGTAGTCAGTAGATGTGGATGCACATTAGTTATGAAGTTGTTCATGATGTGGATATTCTATCATTTCACGTTACCCATGATTAAAGTGTTCTACAGCATTCAAATGAAAGCCACTGATACACATGCTTCTGTCCCCAGGTTTCTACTTGTAGCTCAGCAGGAAACTCCAGGGGAGTTTCTCCTTAGAAGTATCCCCAGGCTTCTCCTTGACAATGTGCTGTGTTTTCTAGGTTGTCTCTGTTGAAACCTGGAGCTTTGCCATGAGCATGACTTTGCCCTCTGGGGAACTCAGCTGTGCACCTGGCACTGCTGTGATTGAGTTGCCATTGGTGCTTGCTGATTTTCTATCCCTGCTGGCTCAGACTGGGGCCAATTTCAACAGTGCATGGCCATGGAAATAAAAGGACATGGGGAAATAGTTACCACGCTAAGATTAAAGATGATGATTAAAGGACATTAAAGGAATTCTGGGAATTTAAGCTAGTCAATTTTTTTTTTCCATTTCTCATAGGCGCTTCACCATAAAGAAAGACCTTGTCCGACACAGATATCTGAGATGTTCCTACCTCTATATACTATAAGAGTCTGGACATAGGAGAAAGAAAGCTACAAACCTGGGCCCTGGGGTCAAGCCAATCTGGATTTGTATTCTGGCTGTGTTATCTAACCAAGAACTAATCCCTCTTAAGCCTTGATAATAACATTTCCTACCTCATAATGTTGTACATATGAAATGAGTCCATGCATGACAAGTGATTGGCACAAGTGGATGCTTGATTAAAAACTGGCCCAGCTCACACCAATTAATTGCACCATCTCTTCTGAACTCTCACGCTCATTGGCTTCATGTTGGATAGTTTGAAAAAAAAAAAAAAAAACCCAAAACAAACGAAACATGGCAGGTGTATTCACACCACAGAAATCTGTAAACTCTTTACACGGGGGCTCCTCTACTCTATCATTTTACTAGAACACCACTGGTTTTTCGGTATTTAATTTGCTATTCACTATCATTCAACAGCCTTTGTTGGCAGGTTGATTCACTCAAGTAGTCCTTCTCTTGTGTGAATTGCATTCTTAAAAATCCCTCCAGCTTTTTGATTTGTATTAGAAAAGGTGATGCAGGACAGAGGAAAGGCAGCAGCTATTGGTCTTGAGACACTGATTCAGACGCTTCCTGGGGACAAACACGCTCTATTGTGAATAAAGCCAGCCTGCACACCAACGTCTGTCAGGGCCAGCTGGCACGCCAGGGAACCATCCAGCACACAAATCCCCTGTGATTTCAGCACTCAGATATTAGGAAATGGAGAGTAGCTCCCCAAGCCCACTCTGCCTGAGTGGCTTAGCATCCTTGGGCCTTCGAGTGTGACTTTAACAGCTGTGTTCAGCTGCAGGAGATAAGAGTCCCAGGAAATCTGGTGGGACTAAAATCAGAAATGATGATCCAATTAATGCCCTAGACCTCAAATGCTGACTCCAACCCTGTATACTCTGCATTAGCATTAATAATGATTTCCTTAAAATCACTCAGTGGTTTGGATAGATATCTAAATCTCATTAAGAAGTCAACTCCCTTTGCCTAAAAATACGTACTTAGGGCACTTAGGCAAATGATCCATGGCAAGATAAGGTTCTTATATTGGCTGAACAAAAGGGCTATACCCCCACAGACAACACTTTCAAGGACATTTTATAGAAGCAAGATAAATGAGAATAGCAGAGATTAACATTCAATTTGTGGAAGTTAATCCACAGCAGGGTGGCCATTTAAAACCTCTTCTCAACAATGTATTTTTTGAGAAAATATTGTTCTTTAAAAAATAAGACATTCTTCATGGGTCTAGAAATTGAAACTTTTAGTAGAAAATTTGTCTTGGGCTTTATGTTTTTAAAAAATCAAGTAGAATCCTTGTAATAAATCTAATCTTCTCAGAAGGAAACACTGAGGCAAGGGTTTGAGTAGTTAATTTGAGACATTATTCCAGGAAGCACCAGAAAGGTGAGATAGGAAAAAGAAGACAGTTGATACCATGTGTGTTAATGAGTAAATCTGCACTGTGGGCATCCGGGGCTCAAATCTCTTAGAGACCTCTGAATGATGGTATAAAATCATGATGTCCAATACCACAGCCCACTAGTCACATATCATGGATGAGAGTTGAAAGGTAGCTAGTCTGAATTGCAATGTGAATGTAAGATACACACCAATGTCTAAAAATTAGCAGTGTCAAAGATTTAGTTTTGAAAAAGGTAAAATATGTAATTAATCTAATTTCTATATTGATTATGTCAAAATGGCATTATTTGGGATGTTATACAAAATATTTTTAAAACTGATTTCATTTCATTTTATTTCTTTAACGTGACCACGAGAAAATCTAAAACTGTACATGAAGCTCAGATCTGAGGCTCACGGCTTATTTGCACTGGGTGGTAATGGAATATAACTTGCCGCTGATGTAGCCTACAGGAATGGTGGGTGATTAACCAATTCTTCTTCAGCACTGATTGGAGTGCTAGTCCAGAGAAATTAACTACTTGGTACCTTGAGTTTGCCTTCGTGACCACAGCAAAGTCTTTAGCAAGGAGGCAATAGAATTCTTTAGAAAGCTAATATCATAAAACAATAAGGAATGCTGAGGGGACATAGGTAGGGCACCAACAGATGCTACCACCCTCTTCATTCCTGCTTCTGACTTTCAGATCCTCCCACAACTTCTCATGCCCTCTTGATCCATTGCTTTTGGGGAGATCAAGAGGACCTTTCAAAAATCAGACATGTCTGGACTGGGGAAGAGTAGATAGAAGCTATGATCATTGTTCCAGTGAACTTTCATGAAGAAAGGGAACTGATGTTATTTCCCCAGGAAGATAGTCAGTGGTCAGGGAAGAGAGAGAAGTTTAACTGAATAAGCAGGACGCCCATTTTAACCAAACGAAATCTATTGCAGCAGAATTTGAAGAGCCTCCTATTAACAGAGCTGCTCAAATTGAGATTGTCAGTCATTTGTAGGGGGTTCTGGCAACAAATAGGGGGTAACACAAAATTAGAACCGCCAAGACACCTATTTTAATTTTGAAACCTGGCCCAATTTCATGGCGAGAGCAGTGCAGTTGCTGAAATGGAGAGCATGGGAATCTTGAACATAGAATTAAGTGCTATGCCTTTCCAATATCTGTTAGAAATGAGAGACAGAGAGAATAAAAGAGAGCAAGAATGTATTGAATCATTACTGTGGCCCAAGCACTATGAGGAACATTTGAGGTATGTTACCTCATTTATTCCCTTAAAAGAAGCAATCTGGTGAGAAGCATAAAATGAAGTTTATAGAAAAAGACACTTGCTGAAGGTCAATAAGTGGTGTAGCTAGAATTGAATACAGGGCTATTGATCTATGTATTCATTGTACTCATTAGTAAGGACATATTAAGTGTCTACCTTAGGCAAGAACACATGCTTTTATCTACTAGATTTCCCTCATAGACACTTAAGGACTTGGCATGCATCTTAATTTCAGATAATGAGAACAACATGCCATATATAGAAATTGTATTTTCCGAAGATGGCCACAGCAACATTTTAGGTTTTACCTGCTCTGCAGAACCACTCACCATCAAGAGATTAAACCTATATTTCTATCCTGAAGCTGGGAGGACTATTCCAAAGAGTATAGTTCAGTGGAAGTGATTCAATGGGACTTGTGACCCTGGATCTCAGGAAGGGTAAAGCTTCTCCCTGGCTCGCTCACCTTTTCAAGAGAAGTGCCACTGGCCATCATGCTGTCAGGAAGTCCAGGCCACATAAAGAGGCCATCCATGTACAAGTATTTCAGAAAAATTTTCCAATTTAAGTTTCAGCTGAGAGCTAGAATCAGTTGCCAGCCAGGTAAGTAAATGAGTGAATTTTCAGATGATTCCAGCCTCCAGCTCTGGAGACTCTTGTGAGCCCCAGACTTCATGGAACAGGATGATTGGGTTATCTCTGCTATGTTGTCTGAATTCCTCATGCACAAAATATATGAGCATAAGTGGTTGTTCTAAGCACTAAGTTTTGGGGGTGATTTATTATACAATGCTATAATAAACTATAACATCATGTTAAGCATAGTTTTTGCCTTAAGAGTTAGTGCAACTACTTCCTTATTTTACAACATTGAGCATGCATGTCTATTTTTATTAAGCTGATTTTGTCTTTCTTTGAAAAAATATAGGGTATAAATAAAGAAAAACCCGTCTCAAATAATAAAATCAAAAGTTCAATACCTGAATCTTCTTTCATGTCAACATCCTCTTCCTCATTGGTATCATCTAATAAAAGTAGGAGAAGATAAAGAGAGATTCATATAAGAGCTAAAAATCCCAGAATGTTCCACTTTGACTAATAAAATATATTTTTTTTAAAAAAGAGCTCAGTAAAAAGACACTCGTTTTTGTTGCATTATATCATTGTGTTGAGTTACAAAGTGAACACATTTAAGGCACTATTTAACACCCAGGGTTTACATTTATGTTTTATAAAATTATTACATATTTGTAATAAGTTGTAATATTCAGTAATTCATTTTACTTACACAAATTATGCATGGTCACCTAAATCATTTTAATTCTCCAGAACTGTGAATTATGGACTTTAAATTTCACATTTTCTACTTTTATTAAAGGCGTGCACTCTTATCTGAAGTATCAGAGAAATGCAGACATCAATATTTGGTTGAATGTTAAACACAGACACATGGTAAATCCCTGTACGGCGCCATGAAAACACCACTCTGCTACACTTGTAAATCCAAACATTTATGCTTTCAAGTGCCCCTAGTGGTTGAACCATTCCCATGTAAGTCCCCTTATCTTCCAGTGTGACCCTTTTAAGTAGGGTAGGATGTGTGATTTCTCTGCGTTGTAGATGACACGTGCTCTTTTGGACTTAGGGCATACTACCACATCTTACCTTGAATGGCCTCCATATCCAGCACCAGTCTAACATCTATAACCCCACAATTCCTGTGCTGAAATCCTAACCCCCAAGGCTATGGCATTAGTGAGTCCTTGGGAGGTGGTTTGATCATAAAGGTGGCACCCTCACAAATGGGATTAGTGCCCTTATAAAGCATCTGCAAGAGAGTCCCCTGGCCTCTTCTGCCATGTGGGGAGATGGGGCAAAGACACTTTCTATAAGGAATTGGGCTTTCATGTTGATCTTGGATTTCCAGACTCCAAAACTGTGAGAAATAAATTTCTGGTGTTCACTGTATGGAATTTTGTTAGAGCAGCCCAAGTGGACTAAAACATCAGTCAGTGCCAAGTCCTGCCCTGTGCTCCTGTTCCTCTCTGTTCACATTACTATACTCTAATTCTGACTCCAAGTACACTTTGCCTTAGGTATCTTAGAGTTTCCTAACTACTCTTCTCTTCTTCCCCTTTCCTACTCCCCTTTAACATATGGTTGCCAACTCATTATTAAAATATAGGTCTGACCTGATTCATAGCCATACATTAATTGCCGTCTGCCTAATGAGAAAAGTCTAGACCCTTCCCTGAGTATTGAGGAATACTCAAGGTCAAAGCTATTTAGTTCTTGGTTTCCTCACTTTTGTTACACCGGTGTCATCACCCATACAGATGGCAATGTTCAACTACTCGTCCCTGTTCTCTCAAGGTACCTATCTTAGTCCCTTTTTTGATGCTACAACAAAATGTTTAAAACTGGGTTCTTTATGAATAACAGGGATTTATTTAGCTCACAGTTTTATAGGCTAAAAGTATATCTCTTCATCCTTCAGTAAAGGCCTCTGGCTGCATCCAACATGGCGGAGGGCATCGTTGTGGAAGCTCATACAAGAGCAGTGCATGTGGAAGACCTCATGTGGTGAGAGAAACATAAAAGAATGGGGAGGGACCAGGGTCTCTCTCCTATAGCAAGCCAATCTCATGAAAGCTAACCACGTCCTAAGAGAACTACATTACTCCCTCCCTACGGTAGTGCCTCCATGATCTAATTATCACCTCTATACCATTACACTGGGACCAAGCTTCTAGCACACAGACCTTTGGAAGACAAAACATACCCTAACCTTAGCATTCTCCTGTAGCTTCCTAAGCCTGCCTTACTCTTTCTGGGAATGCCCTTCTCCACTTTTATTCACCCGCATCCTTCAAGGTCAAGCTTAAAGTCTCTGATGGAATTAAGCAGGGTTTGTACTTGGAAATAGACAAGACACAGCTAAATCAGAGAGGAAGTCTACAAAGCTTTCTACAGCATCTGTTTAATCCAAGTCTGAATGAATAGTGTTCTTTTTGTTTTGCCTTATTTTTATTGCCTCCTGAGTACGAATGTTAAGGATATTTGGGCTTAGGTCTGCATATTGTTCTCAAACTACCCATTCACTTGGCATACAATCTTGGAGAAATTACCTAATTTTCCTGTTATCAGGTTCATCATCTGTGAAGTGGGATAATAACAATGCCTTCTACTTAGAATTGTTATAAGGACTAAATGAGGTAATGTCATGTAAAACACTAGGACAGTTATTGAAACATTATTAAGTGCTTAAAATTAGCTATAATAACTATAAACCCCATGGTCTACTTCTTGGTTAATATATCTGTCTTCCACATGCTCATCTCTAGATCATAAGTTCTATGGAGATAGAGAACATGCCTTATAAATATAAGTCCTTAGTACCTAATGTCATTCATTTTATTTATAATTTTTACTGAATGGCCCAATCACGTTAGCTGTGCAATCTTGGGCAAATAGCATACAATAGTATACACCTCAGTTTCTTCATCTGAAAAATAGGGATGATAGAAGTACTGACTTCTTAGAGTTGCTGACATGTGTAAAGTATTTACACAGAATGAGCATTCAGTAGATGCTGATTATTGCCATTATGGTGTCATTATTACTATTTTTTTATATTTAATCACTTATTGGGCTCTACTATGTGTACGAACTGTGCTGGGCCTTGAAAATACAGGTTAATAATCCCTACCCTCAAAAAGTGGGTGGTAAAGAAAAGTAAAACAATAGTCAGAACTGGAAGAAACAGATGAAACAGATTCTCTGATGCAGAAAAGCAGAAGTTCTATTGGGAAACAGATAAGAGGCAGTTAAAATAGAGACAAAAATCTATAAAGGCTTTTCCAGAAGAGGTGAGGTTTCATCTGTGTCTTAAAGATTGAGGTCAAATTAGCTAGAAGAAAAGAAAGGCTACAGTATATGCCCAGAAAATGTGGGTCCCCTGTCTACGTCCCCTTGTTCCTTGATACTTTAGTGCATAACAGCCTGACTTCCAGCCTCCTGCTCCTGGGTCCTCTGCTTGAGAGCTTCCTCTGGTTGCTAGAGCCCACTCAAGAAATATTAGGGAAATGAATACCCTGCAGGGCTCAGCATTCACAAATGAATGACAGGATTTGCATATCAGTATCCCAGCTCCTTTGCTTCTCAAGTTCATTGAAAAACATCCCAAGCTTGTTCCATACTATCTCCCTTAACTCCCTTCTCCCCATTGGACTTGAGCCCCAGATGTGCCGTGGTAATTGGTTTGTAGTGTAACCTATTGCTCTCATTTCCTTCCAGGTCCCACTTCCACACTCCCCTACTGGTGTTTCCTGAGATTCCCTTTGAAAGAAAATACTTCCATTTGAATCCTTGTTTCAGAATTTTCTTCTTGGGACCCTCAAATCAAGGCAGGGTTATCACACTCAAGCATAAAAGAAAACATCTGTCCAAAGGCCTGGATGTGGACAGTCAAGATGCTCTGAAGGAAATACAACTAGCTCTGAATGGCTGAAGAGAGGGGTTGTATGGGAAAGTACAGCTGAAGTGATAGTTTCTGACTGAAGGTCCTTCTATATACCAGGTATGATGATTAATTTTATGAGCACTATAAGGTACTCACACAGTATTTTGGTGTGTGGTTGAGGTTGTTTCTGGAGGAGATTAACATTAAATAGATAGACAGAATAATGTGGATTGCCTTCCCAATGTTGGCAAGCCTCAAACAATCAGATGAAGACCTGGATAGAACATAAAGCAAAAGGAAACCCTCCAGCTAGACTGCTTTCATTCTTGTATGTCTGTTTTTTCCTGACCCTGGAATCAAATCGAAACATTGGCTCTTTCTGGGTCTCAAGCCTGTAAGGATTCAGAATAGAAGTACATCTTTGGCTCTACTGGTTCTTAGACCTTTGGATTCAGAATGGAGCTACACCATAGTTCTCCTGGGTCTCCACCTTGCAGACTGAAGATCATGAGACTTGTGAGACTCCATAATCTTAGAGTCATTCTTTATAATACATATCTCCAATATACACATTATGTATGTATACATACACCATATATACATACACCATATATACATATATGTAAATATGTATTATGGGTACAGATGTACACATATGTCTAAATATATATATATACATATATATATATATACAGATGTACACCTCTCTCTCTCTCTCTCTCTCTCTATATATATATATATATATATATATATATATATGATTTTTCTGGAAATTACTGATTCATACACACTCAGTTGAAGGATATAAACTTTATTCTGAAAATTAGAGTGATTAATCAACTTTAGGCAGTGAAGAGAAACACCATGCTTTGAAAGATTTCTTTTTTTCATGAGAGGAATTTACTAAGAAATTATAAAATACATACCCAGTATTTTGGTATTATTTGTATTAAAATCAAGCAGAAAATACTTTTGGTCTGGAAAGCACCTAATGTGCCATTACATATTAATAAAATCCACAGCAGCTCAACATTATTCTATATAATGTGCTTGCTTGAGTTATATTTAAGCTGCAGATTTCTACTGAGTTTTTTTTAACTTTCTCTCTAAGAAAACTAGGCACCAAAAAAAAGACAGTGTGTTAAAAAAAAATAAGAAAAAGAAATGATAGCCCATGGAAATGGGAAGCCATGCCATTCAAAATTTGGAAGTATTTAGGAGACTGATGGAGCGTGGGCACAGAGCTGCTACCCTTTTAAACAGTTCTTCAAGCATCATACTTCTTTGTTAGAGGACAAAAATGAAATAAAAGGTTTCTAGCCAAGGCGATACAAATACCATTTCAAAACAGAGAGCAATCCATCAGATGGTATTGTTCTGTGCATTCAGAAATGCCAATCCAGAAAATACCCCCTCTCTTCCCGGGAGTAGACCACACAGAGGGCAAAACTCCATTTCCTTTTAAGGGGCCTCTTTGATGGTAATTTCATAATGGATGCTGTTTTTATCCACTGCATCACTCTGTGTCAGATTACCCTGTTGAGTTCTTCACAAAACACACAA